TAAGGAATGCTTGTTGACTGGTTTATTGATTAGACCAGGGGTTCTTAGACTGGAGTCTATGAATTGATTTCAAAATTACTTGGTTCCCTTTGTAATTCAATGTATTTTGTTTTATGCATTAAAAAAAACAAACACGATTGAGAAGAGGTCCCTAGGCTTCACCAGATACTACCCAAGGGGTCCATAGCACACAAAATATTAAGAACCCCTGGGCTAGACTATTTGGATATAGAGAAGTTCCCTGAAAAAAGTTCTGATGTCTGTTCCTCTCACCTCTGTGTTTTTCCATCTTTTCTCTGTGTCTCCCAATAAGATCTTTTACAATTTTATTTTCTCTTCAGCTTAGTTAGTTTAGCTGTGGGCTAATCATTAATATGGGTCAGTGACTTAGATATGTGAAAAAGAAATCAATAAACATTAACTTTAAATTTAACAGCTTAAAGATATTACTTTTGACCTAGCAATGCCACTACTTAGGTCTGTATCCCAAAAGAGATAAAAAACAAAAAGGAAAAGGACTTACATGTACAAAAATATTTATAGCAGCTCTTTTCTGGGAACAACGAATTAGAAATTGAGAAGAAGCTCATCAATTGGGGAATGGCTGAACAAGTTCGAGGGATGTGATCATGATGGAATACTATTTTACTGTAAGAAATGATGAGCAGGATGCTCTCAGAAAAACCTGGAGAGACTTGCATGGGCTGAGGCAAAGTGAATGTACTGTGTACAAAGTAACAGCAATATTGTAAGATGATCAGCTGTGAATGACTTAGCTATTCTCAGCAATACAATTATCCAAGACCACTCTGAAGGACTTATGAAAAATGCTATCCATCCCCAGAGAAAGAATCAATGGCACCTGAGTACAGATTGAAGCATACTTAAAAAAAAAAAGATAATGCCTGCCATAAGGTATGTATACCTCTTCAGGTTTATGCTCAGAGAAATCTAAGCCCAAAATGGTCTCAGAATGGATGGTACAGTGGTTGAAACTGTACAGGAGCAGGAAGTCAATTCAGAGTGAAGGTTCCCTCAGAAACCGCAGCTCGGCCACAAATCGGTGATCATTCTGGTGCAAAATAAGCAGCAATGGGCAAGTTGTCTGGGCTATGGCTGTGAGAACAGTGACTTAGAGTTTCCTGTCCTTTATGGTTAAGAACTCAAAGCCAACATGTGACACAAACATAGCTCAAGATGTATCTATAAATGGAACTTAAAAAAAAAGACCTCATACTGGTCTTTCACTGCAAAGTTGTATGGAAGGAGCATTCATTTATGGGGATGAGACTTCTGGCCCCTTATAGGAAACACACACACACACACACACACACACACACAACACACACACACACCCCATTCCTCTTCAGGAAAAAAAAATGCGGCACAAGACAGGTTGTCTTCCAGTCTCTTAAACCTACTTCTGTTATTCATTTGATGTGAAATATTATTTTCTAACATGTTCTTTGGATCACCAACAAAGTCAAACCAGTTTGGAAAACCCAATGGCCAAGAAAAGCAGAATACATACAACTCTGGTACTGATGCTTGGCCGTTTGTTTTTTTTTTAACTACAGATACCAATATGATAGACTGTTTAATATAAATTAAAGATGCACACACACACACACACACACACACACAACACACACACACATATATATATGGGTTTTTTTTTGTTCAATTGTTCCAATTGTCTGGACTCTTTGAGGTTTTCTTGGCAAAGATACTGGAGTGGTTTCCCATTTCCTTCTCCAGGTCATTTTACAGATGAGGAAACTGAGGCAAACGACTAAGTATTAAATGACTTGCCTAGTGTCACAGAGACAGTAAGTGTCTAAGGATGGATTTTGAACTTCCTGATTCCAGGCCAGGTGCTCCATCCACTAACCCAATATGTGGTTAGTGCAAGGAGATAAGTACTAATACAAAGTGTTGGCAGATGGAACAAGGTGATGGTAAGTGTGCTGGTTTGGTTTATGTATCAGTTCGAGCAGTAGGCTAAGAGAGCATGATAGAAACTGACCCAATACTAAAAACTGTGTGGCAGCGGCTCCTAATTTATCATGTTAAAGCAATGATGGATTTTTGGAAGCAGCTGGAAAAGGACACCAAAGAATGTCTAATAGAGCACTGTTTGGACTTTCTAACAGGCTGTTGTTAACAGTGCCATTTATATGTTAGAGATGAAAACAAAATGTATTAATCCCAATTTTGCCTGTGTCAACATTAGCTGGATAACCCTAAGAAGAATAAATTGAGATGACTTTCCTATTTACTAAGCTTTAAGAGGTACAACCCACATCCTTGGAGTGTTAATAATTATAGGTCTTTACTGGTGTTAATTTAGTGAGCATGTTGTTAATTTCTGACTGTTCTTCTTAAAGCTGATAAGCAGATTTCTCTGCTGGTATTGTGTAGCTCAGGGGTAATATTTTATACCTCTTATATATGCTAATGATATAGTTGTGTGTGCATAAATGCGTGAATGAAAAAGCATTTATTTATTAAGCCTTTCCTATGTGCCAGGCACTGTGTTAAACACTGAGAATACAGAAATAAAAAGCAAGATGGTCCCTGGCCTTAAGGAGCTTATATTCTAATAAGAGAAGCCACATACATGTGGGAGAGTGCCCAAGGAGAGATGTTTTGATCTGGGAAGTCAGAGGGATGGTGAGAGAGGCCAAAAGGCTGCCTGATTACTATTCCCAGATCTGGAAGAGGAGAGCAGCTGAGGGAGGGACAGGAGGATGGCCTGGAGAGGAGTGTGTGCTCGGAGGTGGGTCAGCTAGGAGAACTCTCTTCAGACAGGAATAAAGGGGCCCAGGGCAGGAGCTGATAGTGCATGAGGGTGGAGGGAGGTGGCAGGCTCCAGATGGAGTCCTTGACTTATTGAGTTAAGGCTGCTGCCAGACTCAAAAGTTTCCCACCGTTTTGCACTATGTTTGGTCAGAAATTTTCAATATGAGAAAACAGACAGTTGCAATACCTATCTCTCAGGGTGACTGTGAGGCAAGTAGCTTGCATACCTTAAAAAAACATATTAATGTGAGCTAATAATACTACAAGTTAACAAAGAGATATAATGCTCCAAGTGCTTCCTAGAGTTGACCTCATGTGACCCTCAGAATCACTATTCACTGAGGTCATTGAGTGGGGACCTGAAGAAAAGGGAGGGTTCATCAATCAGAAGCTGGGGATCAGAGAGATGGATTAAGAAGAGTTCCCCCCCATACATGGAGGATGACATAAATAAAAGCAAAGTTGGACTATGTTTAGGAACAAGGAATGATGAAAAAAGTAGCATTAGATGTGGTAATTATTGGCCAAGAATGTCTTACAAGTGAAGAATATACTGGCTGGCATTTGGGTTACTCCATAACAACAACAACAGCTAGCTAGTATGTCTATTAAAACAATAGCGCTTCAGGGTTTGCAGAGTGCTTTACAAATATTATCTGATTTGATCCTCACAGCAACCCTGGGACGTAAGTGCTATTATTATCCTCATTTTACAGATGAGGAAACTGAGGCAGACACAGCTCAAGTGACTTGCCCAGGCTGCGTTCATTTAGTAAAAGAGTACAATGGATAAAGCATACGTTTAATTAATATAAAAGTATTCTACGAGCAGCTAAACTAAGATGTGCTGTTATTACTGGAGCTACAAGATCTCAAGACTCTTAGAGGTCTAGAGTTAAGTCTTAAGTAACATTCAGAGATAATCTGAATTACAAATGAGAATATATGAATTTTAATTTATCTCATAATCCTACTCATACCAGTGAACTTTAGGAATTCCACTTAGGTCATTTCTTCTCATTATATATGTAAACACAATGGATAAAAATCAACGTTTATCAGTTTGGTGACAAAGCTGTGATACTCTTGAGTCATGTTTTTCACAGGATACTTGGATCTATCTTTGCCTTCTTCTTTGGGCTCTCATATCCCAACTGTCTTTGCTCTGCCTCTGGTGCCTTTCATATCCCCAGACCCCTGGAATATCGGGCAGATCCTCTCACCTGGTGTAATTCTGTCCAGTTGCTTCTGATGGAAGCCTTCCAAGATGCTGGACCCGCCAAGGTGCACTGAAAAGTACTAGGTTTCTTCACCAGCCAACTTGGTCTTCATAGATACCAAGGTGAACCTTTTTTTCACTAACCCTATCTAAATTCCCAGGCCAACCAAAGCTTGTGGAGATCTGAGCAGGATTAAACCAGTCCTATGCAGTTGTGTCCCAGTCCAGCTTTGGTTTATTGGGATCTCACTGGGGGCACAGCAAGAGGCTCTGAGTGGCTTTTCCAGGTGTGAAGGAACTGCCTTCCCCCTCTGTCACTTTTGTTTGGGGATGACTATGCTGCTTCAGAAAGCCAGGCTTTCACATTCCCAACAACCACTGCGACCTGTAACACTCTGTAAAGTTCTGCATGAACAGAACAGACATCTACCTTATTACTCTGGAAGAAAATTCTTCAGAAAGAAATGGGATAAACTCATATAGATTTTTTTCCACCTAAAGTGGCATAGTTAGGCAACTAGGTGACCCAGTGGATAGAGTGCCAGGCCTAAAATCAAGAAGACTTCCTGAGTTCAAATCTAGCCTCAGACACTTATTAGCTGTGTGACTCTGGGCAAGTCACTTAACCCTGTTTGCCTCAGTTCCTTATCTGTAAAATGAGCTGGAGAAGGAAACGGTGAACCGCTCTAGTATCTTTGCCAAGAAAACCCCAAATGGAGCCATGAAGAATTGGACACAACCAAAAAAATGACTGAACAGCAACCAAGTCTGGGGAAAGGCAGCTTGTCACCAGCTAAAGTGAGTAGATTGTAAGTCTCCTCATAGGATCAAAGGACCGAAGCCTGAAGATAGAGGGGATTTTATTTATTTTTTAATTTTGTTTTTAAATTTTAAAAAATTATTTTCATTTAAAAATTTTCATTGTTTATTTTTGAGGGGACTGCAGAGGCCACAAAGTTCAACCTTTCTTTTTTCACAGATGAAACCAAAGGCCAGAGAAGCTATGTGACCTGGCTGATGCCCGGTCCATAGTAGGTACTGAATACATGCTTGTTGGCTAAATGATCTAGAAGTACTGGAGGTGGAATTTCAACCTGCATCCTCTGAATTCAAGGTGAGTGCTTTTTCCATGGTAACACAACGAAGGAATTGGCTTTTGGGTGATCACAACAGAAGACCCATTTAGGTTCCAGGACTCTGCACCACCTCTTTGCACGCCAAGTGAGGAAGCACGAGGCACAGCTCTGAGTCCAGGTATAAGTAAGTGTTGTGTGCAGTGTTTTCATGATGCCCTGAGGCCCAGGCCAGCAGTCTATGAGAAGGATGGCTCATCCTTATTCTCTAAATTGAAGACTCCGTTCCAAAATTTTGTTCTGATCACTTAAGCAAGAGGGAGCTGAATGCTGCTTTTCCTTGGGTAAGAAATGGACAGTATTTATGCTATAAATGCTAAGGTGCTTTTTGGAGTAATTTTTATAGGGTGGAAGGGTCCGGAAGATTTTGAAAAGTACGAATATTTTGAGACAGTGACTCCAGCTTTAACTATCAACCCCAGGGAAATGCTTGGAGCTGCTCTGAGGCTTACACTGAAGCTGCCTTTATCTTAGGAATGCCCCTCTGCCCCAAAGCCCCTGGCCTTTATCTCTGGGCTCTAAGTGTGGGACTGGGCACAGTCTGTCCAGGGCATCCTCACTCCCCTTTGAAAGATAATTTGCAGTTCTTGTCCCCATCCCAACTGCTGCCATGCAATGTACAACTAAATCTTGTTAGATTAACACAGGCTGATATTGACAGCCCAGTGGGAACATATTGATTAGGACCCTTTTCTTGTTATTTGTTATGATTTTTCTTTTCAGTTTCATTTACTGGGCAGACACAAGGGAAGAGATTTCACAGGGAACAATGACAGTGCCTGTCACAAATGTTCTCAATGTTTTCATTTGTTACTATGGCAGTGACAAAGAGGGCTCCAAATGAAAAGGCAGACCTGCTGTGAAAGAGCACAGCAGGACAACAGGAAGGAATTTTCTTCTGACCTGGGAAATGAGGAAATCACATTTAACTGGAGATCACAGAATTATCTCCATCTCCCAGGGCAGGCTCCTAGCCCTGGGAAGGCCCAGGCTTGTTCGGGTTGTCTGGGGATAGAGAGAGGACGAGCCTCCCTCGGTACTGAGCTGATTCTCCGAAGAGAAGGGAAGGAAATAAGCATTTATCTAGTGCCCACTGTGCACCAGGCACTGTAACTAAGTGCTTTTACAAATCCTATTTCATTTGATTCTCACAACAATCCTGTGATGTAGATGCTGTTATCCTCAAGTTACTGTCGAAGAAACTGAGGTAGACAGAGGTTAAGTGGTTTGGCCAGGGTCACACAGTTAACGAGTCTCTGAAGCTGGAGGTGGACTTGGGTCTTCCTGACTCCTGGGCCACTAGCTGTCTCTCAGGAACCAAAGGGGTGTCACACATGATACCAACACAAACTGGAGAGATCTGTCAGTGTCCCTAGACTGCTGGAATGGACAGACTCAATTTCTGTTTATTTGGGACACTGACTTCTAAATGATACATGAAAGTCCTCAATGGTGCATACCACTGCAGTGAATGGCTAAGGTACTCCTCCCCCCACCCCCACCCAATGGTGTGTCTAGCAGAAGGGGAGGGTGAGAAGAGAAGGACATTAGCATTGCTAGGAGGAGGTGGAGCCTATGGCCATTATCCCAAATGGGTAGACCCAAACGGATGTCCTCAGGGTCCTAAAAAATGAAGGGGGGTGGGGCGTGCCTGTGATGGCAATCCTCCTTAATTCCCCATTCCTGTAATTCTACCACAAGCTCTTCCTGCAGATGACAGGTAGCATATAGGCAGGTGGTCGTTCCCTTCTGCCCTGGGCAGGGGTCACCAGCCACGGCCTGAACACTGTTAGCCCTAGAAAGGCCTACCAGCAGGTTGCAGCTCAAATCTCTCTCTTGCTTTGCATTTGCCAGGTCCTCTTTGATGCTACAAGACAGAACCAAAGGTCGGGATAGACCCCTCAGGGCTACTACTTAGGAATCTGAAGCTTCCCAGATATCACTGCATTCAACTACAAAGAAGTTAAAATCATCACAAGAACCTTTGAACCAGATTGTAGATTAATCTAACTCATCAAACCACAATCTCCCAATAGTCTGTCTTTCCTTTTTTCCCCCTAAACACTCTTTCAAAAACAATTAAGTCCTTATAAACATTGCCAGTTCTTATCGCGCTTGCATCAGTCTAAAGTTTAACCCTTCATGGTAGAGTAAGCACCAAACTATTGTGCTGGAAACAGATGTTCTACCCAAACGACATAATCAAAAGACATCACCCTCACTTATTAGCATACTGTTTAATATTCACCACAACCTGTTTTAAAGAACAACAATGTGTTAACATTTAAGCCTGGAGGGATCGGAATACACTATATACTGTATTTGATGCAGCCTGTTTATGCAACATTCTGACAGATACAATTAATCTCGTGAAAATGACCTGGGTAGAGCATAATAGCAAATTATCTTTAAAGTCATACCACACATTTTCCCTGCAATAATAAGCACCTCATAAAATCCACTACGACATGAGTGCATGGTGAGAACATTAAAAGTTACTTAAAAGAAGAAACTGAAATTCATTAAATACATAAATCTTAGAATGCAATAGAGATGAGGGTTAAAGAAAACATTTAAATTCCAAATAAGTGTAAAATAAATGATTCTGTACCTCCAACAAAGGCGTCTCCAGCTCCATTGGTGTCAACTATTTCACTCTGGTTTTGATCCAGGACAGGGAAAACACTGACTTCATTTGCTGCAAAAGGAGCCAAAGAAAAGCAGGTGAATTTTCCATCTAATATAATCTACAAAACTAGCCAGTGTAAGTTAGAGCTCCTCTATAACACACTGGGAAGAGAAAGTGCACAGACGAGCCCCTGAAAACCAGAGACAGAACAGTCTACAACACAGTGCTCTTCTACATAACAAATGCCAATTCAATGCAATTCAACAACCATGTATAAAGGACCTACAGCATGCAAGGCACTGGGCTAGGAGCTAAGTAAGATACATATGTAAAACCAAAATCGTTCTTTCAATCAAGGAACATACATTCTCTTGTGGGTGGGGTACAGAGAGAGGGAACAGTGTATAAACACATAAATACAAAATATGGAAAAAGAAAATACAAAATATGGAAAAAGAAAATACAAAATATTTTGGCCAGACGCACTGCCAACTGGGTGGAGATCAGAACAGTCTCGTTTGGAAGATGACTGCTGACTTGAGTCTTTAGGGAGTTAGGGATTATAAAAAGTAGAAGTGAGAAGGAAACACATTCCAGGTATAGAGGACAACCTGTGGAAAAACCTGGAGATGTGGGATGTACTGTCATGTATAGAGAATAACAAATAGATCAGTTTGGCTAGTGTGTGTATCTAGGAGACAACATGAAATGAAGACTGGCAATAGAGGTTTGAACCATATTCTGAAAAGCTTTAAAAATGCTGAGGAGTTTAGGATGCCTCTTTGGGGATGAGCTGTTCTGATTGGTGAGGAAATGAAAACTCATCAACCCTGTGGAGTTTATCCAGTGCGGATTTCTTGCTAGCTGCCCTGTGGCAGCCCCATCACTCCCCATCAGGAATAGCAACCCTCCTGACGGATCTGAACCTCCATAAATCATTCCTGCCCTACTCAACTTTGGGACTCTACCTAGAGGCTGAGCTTTCTTGATGTATGAGTGAAAACTCACCCTAACCTGTTGTATTTTGCCAGATTTTGCTTCAATCAATCAATCATCAATCAACATTTATGTTAAATACCTACTATGTGTCAGGCATACAAAGACAAATGTGATAAAAATCTCTATCATTACATTTTAATGGAAGAGTCAAAATGCATGTCTATAGGTTTATATGTATAACAGAAACTAGATAACATTGAAAGGCCAAATGGAGAAATTGGGTTCTGAGTTGTGTTTTGAAGAAAAAGGCAGTTCCAAGAGATAGAGGTGAGAAGAGAAGGTCTTTCATGTATGGGGGCAGCACCGACAAAGGCCTATAGATGGCAAATGGAGTATGGTGTGTTTCAGGTATGAGGAACACCAAGAGAGTCAGGTGAGCAAGAAAGGGAAGTTAAGGCTGGGAAGGCGGGATAGGGACAGGATGAGGATGTCTGTAAGTGCCAGACAAGTGTGCATTTGATCCTAAAAATAACAGGGTGCCACTGGGGTTTAAATAATGAAGAGGTTACATGATCACACCTGTGCTTTAGAAAAAATCACTCTAGTGGCAGTGAAGAGGCCCCATTAGAACAGGCAGAGATTTTAGGTGGGGAGACCAATTAGAAAGCTGTTGAAATAGTCCAGGCAAGAAATAGTGAGGATCTGCCTGACCTAAGGTGATGGTTCTGTCAGTTGTTTTGGAGGTAAATACAACAAAATCTGGCAACTTACTATTAGGAGATTGAGGAAAGAGTTGAGGATGATTCCAAATTTGTGAACTCAGGTAAAGGGAAGGAGACTGGTGCCCTCTAAAGAAGTAGAGAAGTTAGGAAGAAGGATGAGTATCAGAGTTTGAGACCTGTAGAAGACATCCAGGAAGAGCTATCCAGGTGGCAGGTGGAAATGTGGCACTGGAAATTAGAAAAGAGATGACAGCAGGAATACAGATGAGTGTCATTTGCATAGAGATGATAACAGAAAACATGAGAGCTGATGTGATTGTTCCCTGAGAGAAGGAGTATGGAGAAAGGAGAAGAGCATCTACAACAGAGCCTTGTACACCCATGAAGAAAGTGTGAGGTTGAAAAGGAATAGCTAAACAGGCAGAAGAATTAGCAGAGAATACTGTCAGGAAAACTTGAGAGGAGAGGGTTGTCAACAGTGCAAAAATCAGCGAAGAAGCTAAGAGAGATAAGTGAGAAAATGTCACTGGATTGAGCAATTATTAGCCTTAGAAAAGTTTCATTTGGGTGGGAAGGTTAGAAGGTAGACTGAAAGAGGCTGAGAAATGGCAGGGAAGTGAGAAAGGAGGGAAACTGCGGGTAGATGGCTTCTTCCAAGGGTTTGGCTATGAAAGAGAAGAAAATTATAGAATAATAATTGCATGAAAATATGACAGGATTTAGTGAAGATTTTTTTTAAGGATGGGAGATGTGTTTTTAGGTAGCAGGAGGGATGGAGTCAGTAGATAACAAGAAACCAAAGATGAGAGGGAAAGAGGAGATCATATAATGGGAATTGCCCAGAGGGGGATAGAGGGAATGAATACATCAAAGACACAGAAACAAAGGGGAAAATCATGTTTGTCCAGACTCTCAGTCTGGTTGCTTCCCTAATAATTACATCTCTCACTTCAGGAAATAAAGTTATAGTTAAAGCACTGGGAATCTAAAACATGCAATTAATAAGAACTAGGTACTTTCCTTCAAGAAAAATATATCCATAAGGAAAACAGAATTACAGCTTGGTCATAGTACTCTGTATCAGTAGTGAATGTCTTAACTAGTTTATAGTTTACAAAGGGACAAATATTATTCTTTTTAACAGTATCTGTGGAAAGTGAAAGCTATACCTGAACTCATTCTCATCTTCCTAGTGTCTTTAAGATGCGGTAAAAACAAAAGTCACAGCAATGACCTAACCAAAGAGATTGCCCCATGGATTTGGTTGTCCTTACTATAAGATAATATTCCAGACTTGGAATATTCTACTTGCCAGTAGAACAGAGCTGCTCATGGAGAAACACCACAGTGCCAAAGAACAGGACAGTTTCCCTTTCCTAGGGTGTAGTACAACTATATTCATCAATCTGGATTCAGCTCACCGTGTTCCAGCAATGTCTGAGAACACAGATCAAGGGGGTAGTTGTGAGTCTGAAGAAAACAGTAACCCATTCTACCCTTTGCCACTTGCTTCAAATGGATTCTAAGTGCCCTCAGCAAGAGGCATAACACAGAAGTATTAGGTAATGAAGACCATGTTAGATCAGAAGTTTCATATTCGTAAATGGTTCCTTCTCCCCTCTCCTTGTTAGAAGATGGTCTTACTTCAAAGCATAGCTCAAGGTCCCTCTCTTATGCAATGCAAGTCCTTTCATGATCTTCCCAGTTATTAGCACTTCTTCCCTGTTGAAATTACTTTGTATAACCAGCCCTCCTTCCACATCCAGAACCCTTTTATATTCTGTCTTCTTCCATTAGAATGTGAGCTCCTTAAGAGTATGGACAGTCTTGTGTGCTTTATTTATATTCCCAATGCTTAGCATAGTGCCTGACACTATGTCATAATAGTACATACATGCACTATCTATTTCTTACATTTGTTTAATCTGTTTATTTGTTGTATCCCCTAAGTAAAGAGAGTAAGGTCTAGAAGGCAAGGGATATTTAATTTTTGTCTCATTTCATTTTTGTCTGTGTATTCCTAGCAATTAGTAAAATGCCTTGCACATAGGGAAAGGGACTGGACTTATGATTCACTGATAGAGAGAACTCCCTGGAAGAGGAAATTCCCTCTACCAATGCAGGTTGGCACCTTTTCTACAACTTATGAGTCTTAAAGTTGTTCAGAGCACTAAGGGATTAAGCAGTTTGTGGGTCTGGATCACAGGAGAGAGACTGTAATACAGACTTGGGAGTCCTTTGTCTAGGGAAGAGAAGAGAAACCATGATCACCAAGAGAGGGCATAGAGAGGTAGTCACCAAGCACTGGTTAAATGCCACCCATGTGCCAGCCATTATGCTAAGTACTGGGGATACAAAAAGAGGCAGGACAGTTCTTGCCCTCAAGGAGTTCACAGTCTGATGAGGGAGACAACAGGCAGACAAAGGGCTGGGGGACTAGTTATGTGAAGGACAAGCCTGAGGTGGGGAGACCAACTGAGAAGCCATCGGAATAATCAAGATAAGAAGTGAAGAAGGTCCGAACTAAGGTGACAGCTGCCAAGAGAGAAAAGGGGTCCAATGTGAGACGTGTTGTAGAGGCAGACTCAACAAAATTTGGCAGCTGACTGAATATGTGGGGTGACTTGAGGATGATTCCAAGATAGGGAGTAACTGAAAGGATGGTGGTAGTCCTGAAAGAAGTTTGGAAAAGGGGTGATCTTTTGGGAAAAGGCAATGAGTTTTGTTTTGGATATGCTCAGTCTGACACACCTAATTCATCTTCTAAATGCCAGGTTAATATTTCCAAAGCACAACTTCCCTCACCTTTCATGCCCCCTAAAAAAGCCACGTTCCCTATTTCTTATGGCATTAAGTTCAAACTCCTCAGCCTAGAACTCAAAACCCTCAATGATATGGCCCATACTTATCATTCCTTCTTACTTCTATACATGAATCCTACACTCTGACCAGACTGGACTTGCTTCCCCTAAATATGCCCACACTTTTAATATCTTCGTGCCTGGAGTGAGTTTTCCTCTCATTTTAGGCATCTAAAGCCTACTCATTTCCCCTAGTCCAGTTCAAATGGCAGCTCCTTCATGTAGTATTCTTTCCACCAGATGGGATCTCTCCTTCATCCATCTGAACTCATCTATCTGAACATCACTTTCTGCTTGGGATTACACTGACTTGTACATTTGCCTCTTGTCTCCTACTAGACTACAAGCTCCACATGGACTGAATCGTGCACTACACACCTTTGAATTTCTCACAGCACAGTTGTTTACAATTCAATTCAATATGTCTTTAATACCTAAAAGGACTTGTGTTAGGTGCTGGGGATATCGAGACAAAAAAGAAACAATCTCTTCCCACAGCAAGCTTATATTCTATACTTAGCAGGTGCTCAATCAATGTTCCGTTAAA